TTGACGGAGATGAGAGTTGAGAGTTTTAAGGATTATGAATTTGATAATTTTGCATGAGATGAAACATATACGAAAAATATATTGATTAAGATTCATTTGACTTATACAATTGTAATTATGAAGTAAAAATATGAATATATGGATAAAATATATTGTCGAATGAAGGTTAATGAGATAAAATTATGATAAAAAAAAATTAAAAGTCAATAGTAAATGAATAAAATTGTGAGAGAAATAAAAAATTAAAGAAAAAGTAAAAGTGATAAAAAATTTGAATATGAAAATTTTCAATCGACCTCATTTAGAAACAAATAAATTATTAAAAAAAGAAGAAAGTCGTTGAACAACCATTATTTAACTTTTTTTTTTTAAATATCTTTGTTAGTGTTGCTTTTGCTTTGTGAAGTAAAGGTTGTGACCATGGCCAGAGTGGCCAACTCCACTAGTTCCTTAAAGCAAAATGATTTTTTGCAAGTTTGAAGAATTTTTTATTAGAGGATTTCTTAAAGCATCCTAAATATTTTTTATCCATCATGAAAAATTATCGAAATGTCCCTAGTTTTTGAAGATGTATCTTAAGACGCACTCATTTTTAAATAAACATTAAACTATTTCGGAGATGCATCTTCGGAATAATTTAAAATATTTCATACATCCCTCTTAGAAGTCACTTACGTTTTAATTGCACCGGAGATGCATCTTCGTGAATATTTCAGAGATTATCTCTGAAATGTATTAGAACAGGTTTTTCATACTATATGTTGTTTATTTGTGTTTAGATAAAGTACAACGTACGACCAAAAATAAAAAATAGACATACATAATTTCAGATGGACCAAAATGTCATACAAAAGTAAAATAGCAATATATGTCAAAAATGTCGTACAATCGAAATCAATAATGCAGTAAGACCGTCAAAATAACGTACAGACCATAGTCCTACAAGAAAATAATAAGAGACTACTATTGTGCGTGTTTGACAACCTCTCCCTACCTCCTCTTCCCCGTCTACCTCTTCTGCCATCAACCCCCTGTCCTCCGATACAATAATGCCCCCTGTGTATCCGTCATGATGAAATCTAGGACTCACCTGACACGAGACCCATCGGGGAAGATACCCTCGTCAGTGCCTGCCCGTGCAATCTCGACTATGCGATGACATCTATGCAAGACCTCATTAATATGATCTAGTATCTCCTGATGAGTTAGTCTCGACGGATCTCCCGGAGCAACATGCACCATGTATGGATGTAACACTCTGAAGAAACATTTGATGTACCCTTCGACATAGCTTCATTCGCTCTCAACTATGGTAGCCCGTGTTTCTTCCAATACCAGATGACTCTCATAATCATCAAACATCTTCTCTATCTGTCTACGTGTCAAGGCAAGATGAGCAGAGACAACAGGATGTTTGGGGATGGTCTGAGTGTACCCGAACTGCCGCATGACACAATCAGGTAGATGAAGAGCAGTGAGATGCGATCGGCATGTCAACCATCCAGAGTATAAGACTATCTCTTCAAATGACCACATCTCACGGTGGTCAAAATAGATGTTGAAGTGCATGTCCTCAGCAACCAAACGATCAAGATAGACTCTGAAAGACTCGATCACTTGGTTCCCTCTGAGAGGGATAAAAGCAATAGCACGAGGCATATCCTCGATGTACTCAGGCACATTCGCCCGACCAGAAATGCGAGGGAAGTGCTGGAGGATCCAAGGTTGAAATAAAAAGTTTGGAACACACAAATCATCGATGATGGTTTTGGAAAGATGAAATGAAAATGATATAAAAAACATTTGAAGGTAAATAATTATTACCGTCACTAGTGTCACGCTTCCGGTTACCTGCTTCGTCTTCCACATACAACCCTCTCTCAACATCGAATGTAGGTAGACCAAACAAGCCGCCCCCTAGTTGTACTCATGAATCCGCTTGAAATCCACGAAGTACCGTAGGTAGGTGACGTCCGTATAAGTGGCTCTCTTGTCCACAAAAAATCATAGTGTCAACCAAATAAAGTAGGTATGCTCTTAATGCATGCGATATATGGAGTGTCTTCTACGCAATATCACCATCAGCCGCCAGTGCACTCAGGATCTCAGCCTCATATAACTTCTTTAGCAATTTAAATCTAGCATGAACACACATGGTCTTATCCAACTCCTCCATCGCCTCCCCTGGATCAGCCCTAAGATACTCTACCATCATCTCAAGTACCTCCTGTTTGGTTATCCTCTCATGATCTAGGAATCGTCTAGTGTGATAGACATCTCACCATGCGGGAGATGAAATGAAGAGGTCACCGAGTGCCATCTTTCCACGAATTCATTAAGCATCCTGTGGTTGACCGTAGTGTAACTGATCATGCACAAGTCCTCAAAACCAGATAAGGACAAAACCGACTGAAACCAATCCTCATTCGGCTCAAGAAACACAACAATCTTTCTCCCGTCGTTAAGAAACTTCTGAGAATCACGCTCTTGAAATTTGTAAGAAATAGTCAATGTTAAAAATTAAAATTAACATAAAAAGTAAATCAAGAATCCAACTAATGCTACCTCCTCGTCCCAGATATGTCTGGCAGTATGGTATGGATACAAAGGCAGTAAGGACAAATCAACTGGACCTCCTCCAAAAGCCACTGCCTCGGCATTCACAATAGTTTCATGCTTCGGAGGTGGCACTGCCTGACCAGAGGAACCTGGAGCCTCCAGAATCTGTTCGCTCCGTTCCCGCTGAACGGATGCGTGTTGAGCAACTCTGCCATGCCTCAATCTAACAAGTCTCTCAGCCATTATGCTTGTAAGTTAAAGTAAGACATACCATTAGTGCACGCAAACAACACACAAGCTAGAAAAAAACTACAGAAAATTCTGAAGATGCATCTCCGAAATCACCAGAAAACTAAAACGTTTAAAAATTTCAAAGATGTATCTCCGAAATTTTTCGCAGTATATGAAACGCTGAACAATTCCGAAAATGTATATCTGAAATTTTCCGCAACTCAGAAGTTGCATCAATGGAGAATGTACCATATGTAAGGTATTTTTTTTTCTGATCACCATTTTCAGCCAACTACCAACTTATAAACTATGTCTAAACTATGTTACATGTGATTTCTACTCATTTCTAACCCTAAACATTTATTTTTACTCGTTTATACTAAAACAAAAAAATTTATCGAAAAATAAAAAAACTTACTTAAAATTGATATTTCTGATGAAGTTGGATGATGTTCTAGATGAAGATTGATGTTCCCTTGAATTCTCTTGAGTCTTGATTGATGAAATTTGACTTGGTGTAGAGTAGTGTATTGAGAGAGGTGGAGTTGAGTTTGAAAAATTGTGAAATGAGAAAGAAGAAGAGTCTGACGCGACTTATGCTCCAAAATGTTCCGAAGATGTATCTCTAGAACATTTTAACTTTAAATTACATTTAGTTGCGTCAGAAAATATATCTCCAAAAACAGGAACCATTTGTAAAAATTTACATGATGCGGTAGAAACACATTAGATAAAAAACCAAAATAACAAAACATTACTAAACACAAAAAAAAACATGGGTTAATGCCTCCCCAAACAAGAGGAAAATGATGAAAAAACCTCCAAAAGGACAGCTATCATACATCACTGTTCCTATATTATGCCGAAGATTAAGATTATCCAAATCGTCCACACTTGGCACTCCTGTTAGCCTCACGAAAAATATAATGAACCCGAACCTCCTAATCTCTGTTGAGCAACAACTTAATGTTATTGATGGAGGTCTTACCTAGTTTGATGATATGAGCATTGTTGCTAGCTTGACAATCCACATGAAGGATCTAATTCTTTCAGGAACCTCCAATCTCCAATATTCTGACGGAAGTATCTATTCATGGTCTCCACATTCCAATCACCACTAGTGTCCAACAACTCAGTAATTCTTTCAGGTTTAGGACCCTTATCTGAAACAGGTCTCAAATGCTTAAGGTTGCTGTGAGTATGCAGCCAGTAATCCTTCCACATATTGGTAGTTTTTCTTTTTAGGATTCCTGCCTCTCAAAGGAATGCCTAAATACTTACCCGAGTCTCCTGTCTTCTTAAAACCTGATGCCTGAGAAACCCGCTTTCAATGTGTTCCGCAATGTTTTTGGAGAAGAGGAGCCAGCCTGGAGAACTTTGAAACAACTCCCATTGGAATTTCTCTTATGCAGATTGTAGGAAATGAGATGTGTCAGATGAATAGATGAAGAGTGTTGTCTGATGTGCATAACTTTTCGTGACAACTTTTTTTTGGTAATTTGTTTACTTACATCCTGAACTTGTGAAGTAATTTGAACATGATAAATGTGTAACGTGGTTTTGTTGCATGAAGACTCCCTGCATTTTGTCCAATCATTGAGAAAGATAAGAGACTTGTGCACTACCTTCTCATCTATGAAGCACGGACACCCGATTACAACCCCAACGACACCGGTAATAATTTGAAAAACTGATCTTAGATATGCAGAACACCGATCTCCAAAGTGTTATAGCATCATAAAGAATAGTTCTGCTGAAGATGAATGTATTTTACACAAAATCAAAGATACTTTTTAACATGTTATGATGCTTCCAACTATCAATATTAGATGAGTACTGTTTAATAGAGAGGTGTCGTCCAATTTCCACAAGAATGAGACTCAACAGGGCCGTCTTTGAATAGGGTCCCGTAAGAAGATTCACGACTAAAATGAAGATAACTTTAACTTCTAACACAAAACCTTTAAAAAGTTTGAGACGACTCTGAGACTCAATATATAATAATTAGGATACAAATGTTAATTTACATTGAAATTGAACTAAAATGTGAAGTAAAAAGTAATGCTCAAGAGCTCCAAAACACAATTATGGCGCGAAGAATAAACAAAATCGCTTTGAAGTGAGCATAGTCTTGTGTTTAAAACATTGAAACCAGATTTAAGTAGATGTACAATAATTAATAATGTTAATTGAATGACTCCATAGACACTTCAAGCCACAAGACGATCCATGACCAATTTCACAATTCTAGGAGCATCAACGGTCACAGCTACTTTTACTGTAGGCATATTGGACCATTCAGTGACTTCTTCAAACCTGGTTTATTACAAACAGAAAAAAGATAGAAAAAGTGAGGGAACATATTGTAAAGGTAACGTAAAGACTAAGTTTACCAAATTTGCAAATACAAGATGAAGACAAAATATCATTACAATGAGGTTTTTGTTCAACTCCCCCTTGTTATATCATTGCTTATTTTGGACTCTTACAATGTTGAAACCCGGTTAAAAAGAGTAAACCATTTAATTGGTTCTCCAAGCTATGCATGTCAACACATTAGTTCTTCAGAGGTTTTGTTTCTATATTATAGCAACCAAGAATTATAACATTAGGTTGGGTCGCCTACAAGGATCAAGTGACACCATAGTGTTCTATCATAAGTCAGAATTTGGACACTCATATTGCCTCAAGTGTAAAGCGAGAAAACCAAGGGTTGTTAACAAACTCTTAGTTTGTTATGATGCATCTATAATATCTACCTTTGATTTGTTAATTAATGGTTGATATTATTCACGATACACTCTAAAGTAAATTGCTCACTTTAGAGGAGTGTGATACCATAAATCATATCTCCGTCAGAACCATTGACCCCAAAGTTTTCCTTATAGTTCCTCATCCAGTTTTTCTACTTTCTAGGTCTTCCTGTGACTCTAGCGATTGGACTACCCTTCATCTGATCTACACTTATAGCGTTCATCTACGGTTCTTTTCGACACATGTTAAATCACCTAAGTGGAGATAGAACTAGTTTTTCTACAATAAGGTGCTATCCTGATTCTATCTTTAATTATCATTTTTAATCATATTTCATCTAGTATTTCCAAAGGTACAGAGGAACATTCTCATACAAACCTCACAATTAGGGAGGTTTAGGCAATACTGAGATTATGAACGAAAACCAATGTCTTGAGCCAAAAACTGAACCAAACTCCAATAGGGAGATAAAAGTCAACCAATTTGACCGTAACTCATCTACCCAATTGTAGATGATATTTGATCTTACCCACCAACTAATTAGGGTACTTGGATCCTACCAAAATGAACAAGTCATCACAAGACAGAAAATCTTGATAACAAAGTATCTTCCCTAATAATTGCATTCAGAAGGGTGATGGAGACTTGAATATTATGGAGTTCCCAAGTTCAACACTGAATAGTATGAGTTGCTCGGTGGAAGTATTTGAGTAACTTAGTCTACCTCCTTGACTCCTAACTTTAAAGGGAAGGTTTCTCAAGTGTTTGAGGGCTTCCTAAATTGTATTAGGGTTGGTTTCCGGTGTCTTAGAAAAGGCCAACTACGGAGGAGCTATTTGAAAAAGGTCAAGCGAAGTGTTATGATATGGACTTGGGTATTATGGGGTGCCTAAGTCCTATGTAGTAGTATGGAATGGTTGGTGGAGTTGGTGGAGTACCTGTGTGGCTTAGTAGTTTTTCCCTCTTGACAGCTAGCTTTTAAAGGAGGGATTTTTCATTGCTTGAGCTCTTATCAAAGGGGCACACTGTTCACCCCTTGGAAAGCATCCTCCTTTAGCCCATACAAAAAGGAACAAGCTTAGAATACTCCAGGTTATGTTTTCTGTTCAGCTAAGACTCTATTCACCAAACAAATATCTTTGTAGTTATCCCTGTCATCATGTTTCGTCCAGCAAGGTAGATTTTGGCAAAGTCAGGGCTAATGCAGTGTACTTGAGAATGTAACAGCTATCTGATCAACAAAATTTTCTAGGCATACCTGAGAAATCTTTACTTAAATTTCTCTTCCTAATCAAATAGAAGGAATACATGAATAAAAGGCCGGGGAATTTATTTAAATTTTAATGCAATTTAAACTCCTGTCAAACAGCGGTTTAAACCATTTACGAAAGTTTACTTCCTTCTCCTAAAGAACTAGGTTGGTCACTGAAAAAACCCTATTTCTTTGGTCTTCATATGATACAATTTTATTTATTTTAATTACAATTATACAATTTTTGATAGAGTCGACGGCATTCTCTGATCCATGTAGCAAAACCCACCGAGTGGGAAAGCCTGGTGGTGGTTTTTGTTCTTTAGAGAAAGTTTCAGGAAAAAACGCAATCCCATAGCATCTTAACAAACTATTCTGAAAATTTTGGAATGACAGAACTGCTAAGAAATGGCATTAATATTCATATAGATAAATTTCAAGGCTATCAACTCATAGTGCTTTCTACCTTTTCTGTTTATTGTAGAGTATTGTAAGTCCCCTTGTTATGCCACTGGTTTGGACTCTAACAGCACCCTCTGTGCACGTTACAAGTGAAGGATCAACGGCTGCAAGCAATGCTGTTGGGTCATGAAGGTAAACTCCTGTATAAAAAAACTATCATTAATAACTCAGATGATTAGGCCTCTCCGATTTCTTTGATGCGGTATGAAGACATACCATTGGTGTTGTATGCGTCACAATGGTAAACGAAATAGACCTCTAAGATTCCGGTCAGGTATTGAGCAAATATTCCTTTTGAACTTGCTAACTTTTCTCGATCAGAACCTAGTTATTTTGTTTTTGATAAGGATAAACCAAAACAAATGTGGCAGAATATGGCAAGTGACATGAACCATAATTAAATTAGAAGCATGCTCATAGCATTCAACCGATGTCAGGTTTCATGCTAATACACTGCAAATATGAGACACAAAGGTAATGAAGAGTTTCATGGGTTTCAAAATATTATAGTTACTAGTTAGATATAAAACCAGTCGCGAACTTCACTTAGCAACTGAAACTTTTGAGAGAGTTAGTCATTGACAATTATCATGGGGAAAAATTATTTAAGTTAGTGGAAATATTTTAACTCTGTCTCCTCTCAATCCAAATATGGTGATCTTTTCCCTGCCTTTGGCATGTGTCTGCATTAAATAAAAAGTGTGGTGATACCATGGAAAATGAATGTATGCTATACCCTGAAAAATAAGTACAACATCATGTGTACAACAAGATGTGCAAATTAATTTTTTTTAGGCGCATTACAAAGGAAAAACGCTATAAATAGATTCAGGGTGAACATACCATGTTACATTAGAAAAAACAGATTCTAAACTCATCTCTAATCTTCATTTGTCCTACTTCTATATTTTGGCGTAGGGTAGTTAGTAAAAGAATTATCATCTACCACAATATTATCCATCAATCAAAGGTCGTCCAAGAATAATAGTTCAGTTAGGGAGACATCTATGAAATCTGTTGAGCTGAAAACGTTATTTATGGGAATTTATTAAATATAAAAGTTTAAAATAGTCATATAAAATGTTGCTAGATCATGATGCATAAATCCTGAAAGGAAAAGGAAAGGGGTACCTGACAATACGACTTGGTGAGTAACATTTATTCCAACTGCCAATACATCTGCACCACTTGTGAATACAACATCAGCAGCATCTGGATCACCAAATATCTGGAATTAAATCCAACTGAAGATTTAGATAGATTGAGCAGTGAACGCCCGATATAATATTTTTATGGAGGTTATATTAAGAGTTTGAATACAAAATGGAAATACTTACATTTGCTTCGGCAGCTGGATTTACATTGCCGTTTACTGCAAAAGCTCCACCAAGCAGAACAATCTGCCCGATGTTCTTAGCAAATTCCGGGTCCATCTGTATAGCCTGCAAACAGAATGTTATCGTCTAAAACAGTATGAAGAGTAATGTAAAAATGGCGTATCGAAAATTGCAGACATATGATACCAAAGCAATATTTGTAAGAGGTCCTAACGCCACCACGGTGACTTTTCCAGGGTTAGCTTTCGCTTGGTTAACCAAAAATTCAGCAGCTGATTCTTCAATGGGTTTCCCATTTGGTGGAGGAAAGTTTTGGTTGCCAAGTCCATCTGCACCATGAACAAAATCTGCAATGCGAAGTTTCGTCCCTTTCTATAAAATTGACATGGATTATACTAATTAGTCAAATCAAATACCAAGATATACTGCAGATCTACTAATTTCATACTGCAAATTCCAAAGTGACCTCATCAGTGAAGCAATCAACTACAATGCATTTTAAAGGAATACACAAATTTCAATGAGCAGAAAATATAGTTTAACACATGTGAGCCGGGCCGTGTGCCTCTCTGAAAGTTTCAAGTGTGCAGACTATGTAATACAAATCACATAAAGTGTTTACCTAAATGCATTTAATTAAAAAATCAAATTTACTAATCAGGTCTAAATACTCATAACATTGATAAAAAGTACAAAAAAGAAGAAAAAAATTAAGTAAATAAAATGGACAACAATATAAAACATGAAACAAATGGTGGTCGCCAGAGTACCAGACAGATAACACTAATAGCCGTTTTAGAAATTGGAAAACCAATCAATGTGTCAATGAAATAATCAAAGTTTCAAATCCCTGTCGTCGCATCACAATCCTTAATATTGCTAAGAATTGACGTCAAATGCAACCACGGGGAATGCACTGATGACCCTGGTCATATAATGGTTTTAAATTGTGGACCTCATCACGTGATGAGGCCGCAATATTGCAGTTGTTTCCGCATCTGCATCAAGCTGCAATTGCGATGTGATCGTAAATCACACTAAATACCGCATCATAACACGCAACGGCCGCATCATAAGGACATCAAAAATAGAGATGAGTTGTAACAAACTTACGGTTAATGTGACATGAGATCCTTCAGCAACTGGTATATCAGTTCTTCCTGCAATTTCCAACTAGACAAATGCAAATTTAGAATCAAAATTTAAAACTCAGTTTCATCCATAGAAAACAGAAACGAAAACAAATCCATCAAAAAGTGGAATCATTGAAACTCAAACAATCCCCCAAAAAAACATTACCAGATGCAAGGCATTTCTGGTAGCAAGAGTAGTGTAAACGTTTCCATAGATAGTTGTAAGTCCAATAACTTGTACTTCTGGTGATCGCAGAGCAAGGAATATCGCCATAGCATCATCTATACACAAAAAAAAAAAAAATTGAAAAAAGTGAAATCTGAAATGACAGAAATTGAATCGGAAATCCAAAAGTGTGTATTGAATTGATGATCAGTAATAATATTTACCGATTCCAGGGTCGGTATCAATTATGATCTTCTTTGGTTCGGTTTGGGTTGTCATGTGATCTGAGTGATGACTTAACTTCAATTGTTTCCGTATGAAAAGTACAGACGAATAATGACGGTGCTTTCTGGGAGGATTGGCGCATTCACGATTGACTTTTATAGGGATAAAGATAACAACTTGGCGGATGATTTAGTTAACCACCTTTCAACCTTTGCAAATTGAAGTCTATTAACTTCAAAAATGGTAACAGGAGCACAGTTTGAACTAGCAATATTATATTTATTGGGAGTTTAAAGAGCCAGAGAAATTTTAATGGGTTAAAAATTTAAGATTTAAAAATTTATGAATCACCCACATCCCTAGCATTGAATCATATTAAGATTTCACTTCTGCTCCTTATCGAGTTTAACCATTACTTTATACCATTTGTTGGAGAGTCCATGGAGCGATGAAAGTGTCAATCGATCGTTCAAGGCCAAAAGACCTTGATACCACATATTCATCCAAAATTTATGACAATTGAAAAATGAGTCACCTATCTTATATATCCAATATTTTCTCTATTTTTAACTGATGTACAACTTAACTGATCACACTTGAATCCAAACATACTTATTTAATTTTAAAAGTAAAAGTTTGGTTACTATGCTACTAGACCATTAGATTTATGTATAGTATTTGTTTTTGGTCGACGACATAACCAATGTTATGTAAGCCCAATTGTCACTCATGGTATATAACCCTCTTCTTAAACTTGGAGGAATAATCTTGCAGGTCCACCTAATTGTCACTAGTGGTATATAACCCAATTGTCACATATGCAGTAAAATGGTATGATTTTATTCATAATTCACACAATCCCATTTTTGTTCACTCATTTGCTTGGACTTGGAGGGATAATTTTGCAGGTTCACCCTGCGCAACCGCATCTGAGCAATCTGCACCACAACATCAAGAATCTACATCAACAATTTTGGTTCTCGAACAGAACCGTGGCGCAGTCTATGAGAATCGTATTATGATTCCTACAGATTTCTAGAATCAGGTATCTCATGATTCAATCAGATCCCTGATTCGATCAGATCTCCTCCGATTCAAACCTCAAATTCTTTGACAGATTCTTCACTTATTAGAAGCAGCTTCGAATTTCATTCCTGAAGATTCTTCAAAATCCTCCAAGTCAAGGTCATCTTATGTCTTAGCCATAGACATGATTGTTGCACCCTAAAATTTGCTCAACCTACTTCACTTGGTTTATGTTTCAATTGCATTGTCATTTGCATAAAAAGTCATGTACATAGTCTAATCATTTGCATAGCATAGCATCTGACAAGGGATCAAGTGCTATTTTTCATCTCAAGGAATATATTCAAGAGGCTCTTATCAAGATTCAAGTCTATTCAAATCACCAAGAAAGAAATTGAAGCTTTGGGAAGTTTAAAGGCCAAGCAGTGGGTTTCTCTCCTATCTTGAGGGTATGTGAAGATCATCAGAGAAGTTATGGGTTATGATTTGAGGGCATGGAAGACCTAGAGGGCCCTTTTGAAAGTAAGACAAGTCATTGGCATGGTTACAAGAGCCAGAGTTGAAGTACAGTCAACTAGGGTGTCATATGGGTCAACCCTGGGTCAACCCTAGATCAAATGTTTGATTGAAGGGCATCAAGGCCTATTTGGAGGATGTGGGATTCATCATTTGATAGGTAGATATGGATGTGGTGTTGTGCCAAGGAGAAATCAAAAGAAATCAAGAAGAAGAGAAGTTTCTGAATTAGGGTTTCTGAGTAAAATCCCCTGGTTTAGGTCAAACTTCCAAGCAAAGTAATTCAAAATGAAAGTCTCAAATGGATCCTTGGCCAACATGAAACTTGTAGAGTATCTCAAGACCTTTAATTTGAGTGGTGGAAGGCATCAAGGAGATTTATAGAACTCAAGTTATGGTTCTTGCAAGATACAGGTCATCAGAGGCATCTGAAATTTGTCTGTGAAAGTTACTTGACTTCCAAGCAACTGTTTCCCCTTAAGGAGTTTTCAATTGGATTTTCGGCCAACATGAAAGTTGTTCCCCATGATCTTATCTTTCTAGAAAGGTATGGTATGCCTCAATCTGATTTGTGGAGCTCTACTTATGATCTTGACAAGCCAAGGGCATTTTGGTCATTTGGAGGTTATAAGTCATTTCAAGCATAAGGCCATATCTCCTACTTCCAAGCTTCAAATGGAAAAATCTTCAACATCAAACTTGCTTAGAATGATGTTTTAAGGCTAGTAGGGAGGTCATGAGATGTTGAAAAGGCTCATATCAAAAAGTGATAAAAATGGCCTAAAAATGAGGCATAAGTTAATTCAAGTGAATTTGAAAAATGGAAATCCCAAGTTATAAGTCCAAACCATGTCATGTAATAGGTAATTTTGACTCCAAATGACATTCTAAGAACAATGGTTCAGCCACAATTTTGATTTGAGGCTTGCATCATAGGGCTGCCTTGTAATTTGATTGCTTGCATATTAGGTACCAAACCAAAACAAGAAAAAAACTCAATAAACAAGGAAGCTATGCATTGTATCTCATCCAAAATATCATGTGGGGATAAAATCAAGTTGGTTACAAAGGTTACAAGGGTTTTGGCATGAGATACCATGTGGTGAGAAATGAAAATTCAAAATACCATTGCATGAAATCTTCAAATTCTCATTGGATTGTTCTAGGGGGTTCTAGACTATTCTAAACCTCTCTATAAGATGTGTGCAACTTGCTCAAGTGCAAGGTTGGTGTTAATTAGTGTAGAGAAGAGAGATTAAGATCACAATTCCTCCATTGCAAATCACATTCAAGCTCTTGATTCTTCTTCATTGCAATCCATTTTTTCTCCACAAACCTTCTCCATAGATCCTTCTGAGTGTGTTCATACTGAGTTGGAGCTCCATTGATGAAGATTTGAAGGTGTTCACATTGAATTTGCAAAGAAGCAATTACCATTGGATCTTGAAGTACAAGCTCTCTCCTCCAAATCTTTTGCAAACAGAAGAAGATTCATCATCCAAGGAGTGTTCTTGAAGAGTTTCAAGCCTTGAATTGAAGATCTACATCATCTACCATATCCAAGAACCAGGTTTGCAAAATCATTTCTACACCCTTATCTAGGCATGGCTAGGGTAATTTATTAGTGTACACTTGTTAGAGACAATTAGGTGATCATTTTTGATGAGTTTGGGAGCAATTGGTGAAGTTTCATTAATGGAGGTCAATTCTTGGATGAGCAAGATCGTGTGAAATAATGAGTGTTAATGCCAAATTAATAGCTGATTTTAATTAGTGTAATGTGAGGTTCATTCTGATGTAAAGAAATGAGAGTTTGGTTGAAGTCGTGGGTTGATGGTATTTTGAGATCAATGGAGTTTCACATTCGGGATGCTTGATTTAGACCATTTCAATGAGAACCAATGCCATAGCCGTATTTAGGGCGAAATTCTAATCAACTTTGTGTTTTAAACTTTGAAAATTGATGCTGAAATGAGGGAGAACGAATGAGGAGAAGATCTGTGCATGAATTCTGTTTCATGGAGGTTTTCTGCAAACCCTAGGGCGTGAGGAAGAAGACGAGTTCGCGTGCGTTGGATGAGAGCAAGACTAGTTGACCACGCGCTGATCCAATGGCTGAGGTTCAAAGCAAAAATGAGAGGGAAGTCTGAGTAACCATGAAACGCCGCGTTTCATTTAAAAGCTAGTCTGGGCTTAGTGTGACCCTCTATTCCCACCCCCCTTATCAGGCCCAACTGCATTTTGAACTACAAGTCATGACTATTTGCACCGCATTTTTTCTTTTTTCTGTTTGTTTTATTATTTGATTTTCTGAATAACTGGGCCCAGGCACGCATGCTATGTGCACCCCCAAGTTTGGGCCCACGCATGGAAATGAATTGCATATTGTTGCTGTTTGCACCCCATTGCATATTTTGATTTTATTTTTACCATTTTATTTCAAATCTTTAGAAATGCATAATAAATTGAAAAATCAATTTTTTTTAATGGGAGTTTTTTCTCCCTTTTCATATTTCTGTCTAGAAAAATATAAAGTGAAAACATTTTTTCTTATCATGCATTTTAATATTTTTTTGCATATTTTTACTTTTAATAGCTTTTTAATTCTTTTATATTGATACCTTAATTTTGTAGATTTTATTTTAGATAGTTCCCTTAATATTTTTAGGCCAATCTTTTTAGGACAATTAGATATACATGTTAGGTACCCCTGGTTTTTATACCACAATTTTTAGGATTTTATTTTAGGTAGTTTGATTAGATACTATTAGACTAGTTAGATTAGGGTTTATACATAACTTAGGTGCATTAAAACAATTTCTTTTGGGTTTTTTAGATTGAATTAGGACTTGGGGCATATAGGGTATTAAGGGTAGGTATAGTAGATCCCCTAGAAATAATATTAGAATTTTCCCTATTATATTAATATTTTTAGTATATTTTGCAATTGTATGCTTGTTTGGTGTGCCCTTTTGGGGGTTTATTTTGTTTGTATGGGCTTATTGGGCTTGCTTGGGGTGTGGGCTAGCCTTGAAGAGCATGATGATGAAGCATATTGAAGACAAAGTTGAAGCTGAAGATCAAAGCTTGATGAAGGTGCTAGGCTTGCTTGAAGATTGATTGAAGATCATAGGACCTAGGAGCTAGGTAGAGCTTTAGAGTAGAAATATAATTCAAAAAACATGGATGGTTTCTGTTGCCTCCATTCTTCTCTATGATTCAAAGTCTCTCTTTGATACTCACCTCCTTCCTTTGGAAGGCTTAGTGACAGTATCTAGGAGATAGAACTTTTGAGAGAAACAATATGTATTTTGTTAACAGTCTGCATGCCACCTTTGGTGGTTAACTGACTGTTTAACATCCCAAATCATCTTGTGAACTATTACTCATCTAGGAGAGCTTGCTTTGAAGAAACTTTGAAGATTGAAGATGAAGTTCATTGCTTGGAAGACTGATAGAAGAAGGAGCTTGTGCTGTCAGGTTTTGCTGTTTAGAGCTGCTGGTGCTGTTTA